GTTTACGCACCTGAAATGTTTCTTTGCCATGGTCGTAGCATCGGTTACTGTCAAATCATAGGAGACTACCGTCGCCACAGGTGCTGTCCATGTCACGGTCATCCAGGTGGAGGAAATATTCCTTATTTCGATATGAATCGGAGGATCCGTGCCTGTAAATAACATGAAAGAGAAACTGTATGCATACTAATCATGTTCTTAAATCATTAAGCTACATGTATCTGTACTACGAATACAAATTATCATATAGCAAGTAGCCGTCGACAAATAAGAAGGCTCCATTTCCCATGCCATGGCTTATCAGGTCATAACCTAGTGTTCATGTTAATATGTAAGATGTGAAAAGATACCGTGTGCCGTGGATTTAGGGTATCCTTAGACGCTTTATATTCTTTAAAAATGTTATTGTCGACATAGAATCTCAATAGACATAACAAAGGCAGAGATACTTTAACTGTGTTTCCTTTAATTTTAAACATATCAACAGACCTGTTATAACAGTTGTATTGATTGTATCACTCCGCCCAAACCGACTGACGGCCGTCAGGCTGATGACGTATTTAGTGGCAGGGAGAAGTTCTTGTAGCCAGTAGTTACCGACGTCACCAGGAAGGATGAAAACATTGAGAGATCGCCGTGTCCTGCTGTGCTCAGCTCTGCTGTAAGTCAATTCGTATTCTGTCAGTTTGGCAACTGGTGGGATCCAGGACAGCCCCAAGCTGGTGTAACCAATGTCGTCCACTGATAACTGCCCGGGAGGATCCGTATCTGCATCGGTAAATGCAAAATCCACACAATTAAGATAAAAGGTAAACATCAATCTTGAATTGATGTGAACCATTTTAACAGAAGCCAGCAGCAATACAATAGGAATGTTTTGATACGCAATAAAATTGTGAAGAGCCGCAGTCGTATAAAGCACATATACATGTAGAATACAATTGATTTCATATCATACGGCGTCAGTAAAAAAACCCCTAAATTTTCACCTGTTACAATGGTAACGCTTGCTTGCAGTCCCTCGACTGAGGGACTGATACAGGTTACTGCAACCACGTACTCTGTAGCAGGGGTTAGAAAAGTAAAGATTGTCGAAGTCGCTGAGTCAAGCAGATACTTTCTGGAAACTGTGAGCGCAGTTTCCTCCTCTGTTAGCCACACCTTGTAGGCAACCACCAGTGCATCAACAGGTTTTGTCCATTGAACAGTTGCTGAATTCTCGGTGACTTGGCAAAATGTAAAGTTTGTAGGAGGTGGCAATTCTGCAGTTGAAACAAAAGTTACATATAAGAAATTGCTGCTGAATACTAAAGTTTGTAAAATTTATGTTTGAAACTAACGATATTGCAATAAAATCAACGTTAGACAATTAATTTCTTACGTTATTATTATCATCATTATTAGTGTGTTAGAAAAGCTATGATTTTTCATAAGCAATCAGTTAGATATTTTAGTACAATGTTAAACTTTATTCCATCACAACAAGTACAGATTCTCAACGACCACTGTTCCCTTCATTCAATGTGGATGTGACGACATTACGTGATCGGTAATTATTCATCCTGATGAAGGCGATAGGGGTCGTAAAAAATTCCATCTGTACTTTATCTGTATTTCATCTGTTGGAATAAAATCTAGCATCTTTGATTACTACCAACACATATAATAGTTATTTCTTAACGATGTTTAACGTTGCTGACAAGTAGTTATGAAACATTAATGTTATTCTAATATATTTTACCGTATAAAGTAATATTGTAAGTACCAGTTATGCACTCTACGCTGATGTTAGCGCTGTCATTCCACAGTCCATAGGCAAGAACCGTGAGGGAGTACTCCACGCCGCTGAACAAGCCGGGTATCGTCGCGTCGGTGTCGTTACGACTCCAGAACGATGCCATAACTGAGGGCTGGGAGAATCCTGAACAAGGCAAATTGTGTTTATGTTACTTTCTTAGTAACCTGTGCATAAAAGAACATAGCACAACAATTGCATACATAATATACATTTGATACGTATGGCAACATTAATGTTCTAACTTTATTTATATTTATTATGTTATAATCGGTTACATACAAAATGATAGTTGATACAATATATATATATATATATATATATATATGTGTGTGTGTGTGTGTGTGTGTGTGTGTGTGTGTGTGTGTGTGTATTGTATCAACACATCTTTAAACCCTGAAATCAACATTGTCCACAACTTACCAATGCAGACGTAAAAAAGAGTAATATTAATACAGAAAAAGGACAACTAACCTAACACAGGACTGTACGTGATGCTGTAACCATTAATTTCAGCAACTGGCTTCATCCAGCTTACAGAGATGGACGTCGTTGTCGTAGACAAACATAAAAGATTCACAATGGGATGGAACCCTGTGGGGCAAACCATTAAAAAACACAACTGGGCTTTTAGTAGTGTATCTGTTTATGAAAGTACTATGCATACTCTGTGAGTCCATTTTCTTCACTCCTAACTAATGTTCATAATATATACCACTATTTCAATTAATGTTAATCAGTTCTGAAAGAAAATGCAAGAAAAACAACCATTAACACTACCAAATGTAAAGAATTATTGTGATCTTTATGTAAATGTTAGAACATAACTTGTATTATAACAATTGGAAAGAGTTATTGTGGATTTCTTTTAAAATGTGCATTGTAGAATCATGTGAGTAATCCGTAATTGTGCAAAAATCTGACTGGTGGAGCAGGATGATTTTTGATAGACAGAAACCTGTCTTAGATTGTCTCAGACAAAACCACATATTAACAGTGAACGAAAAATGGTAAATAATGCCTGTAAAAATGCAGAACTTGCGACGTTAGGCCTTTAGGATGCGTGATTTAAAAGACATATACTAGCATTCACTCTTTGCAATTCTCATTTCCCCAAAATTATAAATATTTTTACCTGAAATCACTTCATATAGCTTGTTTAAGATTCACTACCGAAATGGTCATATTCATACCTCTAGTACCAAATTCCAGGCCAAAGTGCTCGTCTACAGGCAAATTCGTGCTAAGGCTAAATGCTAGTTGGCCCTTCACCATCACCATTATTTATCTAATCTCACAGAAATGTGCAAAGTCCTTACCGTCACAGGTGAGCCCATCCATGCTTAGGTTGTATCCAGTCGCACAGAAACAGTTGAAGCTACCGATGGTGTTAGTACAGAACTGCCCACAGCCTCCGCTTGCTGTATCACATTCATCAATATCTGACAGAAACAACAATTCTCAGCACAATGCATATGTCCCTTTGCGAGTAAAAGCTGGCTTGATGTATCATGTACACGGCAATAATGATGATATGACATATTCATTGCAGAAATCATACTTACCATTACAGGCCAGCCCGTCCACATGCAGGATGTAGCCGGTACGACAGAAGCACTCAAAACTACCGATGGTGTTGTTGCAAATCTGTCCACAGCCGCCATTTGCAGTTTCACATTCATCTACGTCTGAGAATGAAATAAAAAAAGATTACATTAACTTTGAGTGACCATACTCTCCCCATCGTTCATGATATTCTGGATCCTGAATATTAACAAAAAGTGCAAAAGAATGATGAAAAAACGTAGCAATCTGAAACAAGGCAGGCAATAAAATTATTTCCATAGTGACTCGATTCAGTGTTTATTGTTCTGTGGTGTTTTTGTACGAAATCATATACGATGTCGACATTTCTTTTGCCTGCTTTATGTTGCAAAATCGAAGTGAGCAAAGAGGTACTATGCCAGGAATTCCCGATAGTGCATGACCAAATGTTGTTGTGTTTGGCATTATTGTTGGGGTGACAATTGTATCATCTGTTAATGTCACCTTGTCGGTAGTGGCAAGGTCTGCCTTTGGGGAGCCATTTGTATTTGTTACAGACGTACTGTACAGTACGAAAACCGCTAAAATATTTCCATATTCAACGTCGTTAATAAGACTTGGTGTAACATGTGGCAAATGAATAATGTGGCGCGTTTCCTACCATAACAGGCAAAACCTCCGTCGTTCAAAGCGTAACCATTGCTGCAGCCGCACTGAAAACTTCCTATGGTGTTGTTACACAATTGCTGACAACCGCCATTTGCTGTTTGGCATTCATTGATATCTAAAAAAAATATAGCATTAACAGAAAAGAAAACAGTAGTAGATAAATGATCATCAACTATGTAAAGGATTTTTACTATGTAATACGAATAAGAAAAAAGGATAAAAAATGCAGACGTAAATCCTAACCAACACAGGAAAACCCATCGCCATTCAAGTCGTAGCCAATGTCACAGGAACACTGGAAACTTCCACGGGAGTTCGTGCAATCTTGGTCACATCCACCGTTTGCAGTGCCGCACTCATTCACGTCTGCATAATGTAGAAAGCAATGTTTTGGCGAACTTTAAATGCAGCCACAGGTTCATAGCTGCTAAACAGCGATAAAATAGTCTACATCAATCGAAGTATTTATAAGCATCTTACGTTCAATTTTACACAGTTCTTGTGCATTATTAATTTTAATGTCTATTAAAAGACAGTCTATTGTATAGCTTACCATCGCAAGCAAGGTCATTGCTATTCAGCCTGTATCCATTTGAACAGGAACACTGAAAACTGCCGATGTTGTTCCAGCAAGTATGCTCACAGCCACCGTTAGTAGAAGTACATTCATTCACATCTATGTTGGAAGACAATCATGAGAAATGTTCAATACGTTAGTTGTAGGACATGTGTGGGAAGACAATCATGAGAAATGTTCAATACGTTAGGTGTAGGACATGTGTGGGAAGACAATCATGAGAAATGTTCAATACGTTAGGTGTAGGACATGTGTGGGAAGACAATCATGAGAAATGTACAATACGTTAGGTGTAGGACATGTATTACAGATTGCATGTTGTGAAAAACTTAAAAATGTCCAGTACTCCCAAATATGAAATAATTTGTGATAATGATGATGATGTCATAGAACTGTGCTAACATGCTGATAGCATATCCAAAGTACACTTTTGGTCTGTTAACATGGCATATATAACATACTCCGAAGTATCACATCATAACACTGCATAGCATGCATAACATAACATAGCATAGCATATCATAGCATAACATAACATGACATAGCATAGCATAGCATAACATAACATAACATAGCATAGCATAGCATAGCATAGCATAGCATAGCATAGCATAGCATAACATAACATAACAATACACCGTTTACCATTACAAGTAAAGCCATTGCCATCCAGGTTGTAACCAGCCCCGCAGGAACACTGGAAACTCCCGATGTTGTTCCTACAAGTCTGCTCACAACCTCCGTTAGTAGAAGCACATTCATTCACGTCTTAGTTTTAATAGAAAAAGGTACGTAAGACCAAAAGAAAATAATCTAAAACTTTGTTTTGCATTTAGGAACATCAAAAGTGTCAATCCCTTAACGGAATACTAGTGGACAAACTGTGGTGAGAAAGTAAAATTGTAAAGACTAGCATGATGACCAAACAGCTTAACTGGTCTATCATTGACTCCAAAGAGGCAACAAAATGAAATGACTATAGAGTAGAAAATATGTACTTTAAAAGTTTATGTTAATGTTGTTCAACACAATTAAATCCATCATGCGGTAAAATTTCAAAGGGAATGAATCTTTATTATATTGAATATCTATATATTACTTTCTACTGCCATTTAGAAATATAATCATTGCAATCAAGGTGTAATAAAATGCCAATACCATTACAAGTAAAACCGTCACTATCCAGTCTATACCCATTCTGGCAGGAGCACTGGAAACTCCCGATAAGATTAGTGCAGGTCTGTCCACATCCACCATTTCCATTGTAGCATTCGTTAACGTCTGTATAAAACAAGTGACGGGTTTAAACATCTACGGTAAGGTAGAAACACGAAACAATACTTAACTCGCTTTGGCAACAATCAAACGTGGGCATACAACGTGTTTTTCAATCGTACTCAATCTTTGATCAGCAGGTCATAAAATACAAATAACATGGGGTAAATAATTATACGCATCAAGATGATTTGCATGTCTAAATTTGTCCTATACAATCATTATCATGCAAGACCTCCGCTCAAAGCATATAAGCGTCTCATTATAGTTCTACATCGATATCCTGAGGAAATTAATCTATATGTTTTTGTATGAAGTGTACAAAATTTGTTTACCGTCGCAAAAGAATCCATTGGTATTTAAACTAAAGCCAGGTCCACAGGAACAGTAGAAGCTGCCGACAGTGTTGGTACAAGTCTGAGCACAACCACCGCTGGCAGCGAGACATTCGTCCACATCTGATCATGTATACATATATTTAATTTCAGACAGGTACATAGTAAACACACCTCTCACACTAGTGCATAGTAAACACACCTCTCACACTGGTACATAGTAAACACACCTCTCACACTGGTACATAGTAAACACACCTCTCACACTGGTACATAGTAAACACACCTCTCACACTGGTACATAGTAAACACACCTCTCACACTGGTACATAGTAAACACACCTCTTACACTGGTACATAGTAAACACACCTCTCACACTGGCATATAGTAAACACACCTCTTACACTGGCATAGTAAGCACACCTCTCACACTGGTACATAGAAAATACATCTCTCACCCTGTTACAGGCAAATGAACAAAATTAATGTTGTAGATACGTTCATGTGAAATAGCAAATCGGTAAGTATCGGTAAGAGATTCTCACCATCACAAGAGTGCCCATCGCCGTTTATTCTGTAGCCACTTCCACAAGAACACCAGTAACTCCCGATGATGTTGTTACAGTTATGATGACAGCCGGCATTTCCAACGGCACATTCATCGCGGTCTGTATTAGAAACGGTTACTACAAGTCAAATAGTTCCCCACCTTAAAGGAGCAGATGTTAGCGCACAAGAGATGGCAAATGACGCGCTAAAACAATCCATTGGCAAATGAGCCTGTATTTGCTGAGTATGTGTAAATCAGCACACTTTAAGTTAGGAGATATGTCACAAAATTAACGAGTAATGCTTTATTCATCTTAACATGATGCCACTTACCATCACAGGAGTGGCTGTCCAAGTTTAAGGTGAATCCATCCACACACGAACATTGGAAGCTGCCCATTGTGTTAGTACATACATGGTCACAGCCACCATTTGCAGCCGAACATTCATCAATGTCTGCATAGAGCAACAAGACAATTTTGATTGAAAAGGTGCTAGCAGGCAGTGCATCTAGTGAGTTTAGGATTCGTCTTCCAAAGCATTTTAGTAGAAAGTTCAAATCTATTGGACAGCATCCTACCGTTGCATGATGGGACATTACTGCTCCAGGTTCGGTCTGCCTGGCAGGTAGAACTAGAATATCCCACCAGATCATATCCCTGGTCACACGTGAACTGTACCACGTCCTGGTAGAAGTTGGGGCCGCTAGAATCACCATTAACAGGAGACGAGGGAACCGCGCACTGAACACCTGAAAAACAAATCAGTATAAGCTGTGACAAAAGAGAATATGGAAGAACAAAGGACTTGTAATAAAACTACACAGGTTAATTTCGTTACCTTGCATACATTCACAAGTCAAGACTTCTGATACCAGATTCAAAATTGGTCACTTTTTCAACCTGTGCTTAACAGACTTTACCATCCTTTAGATTTTAGGTCAATAAGTTTCAAGTAAAACTACAGTAATCAATATCATAGTGTGATCTAGCTATCGTGTGCAGAAGACATAATTTTCCCTACGTGTGCAGGTCGGTTCAGTTCCACTCCAGGTTCTATCAGCTCGGCATGTCAAGCTGAGAAATCCAACAAGCTCGTATCCAGGATCGCACAAGAACGTCACCACGTCCTGGTAGTAATTGTCGCCAGTCATTTCTCCATAGTCAGGAGCTGTCAGCAGTGGACACTGTACGGCTATACATAGGGAAAGATTGTGAAGTATAGACTAGACTTAACTTCCAACACTGGAAAAAATTGGGACTCACCCCAAATTTTCGCTGGAAAATTAAATTATGAAACAACTGAACGTTCTCCTACAAAAATAAATTAACTCACGGATTTTGGACTAAATCGTTCCGTCCTCTTTCACTATCTACCCACGATTGTATAATCTATTTTTTTCACCGTAAGACATGATTTTCCCTACGTGTGCAGGTCGGTTCAGCTCCACTCCATGTTCTGTCAGCTTGGCATGTCAAACTGGAAAACCCGTCAAGCTCGTATCCAAAATCGCACGTGAACGTCACCACGTCCTGGTAGTAATTGTCGCCAGTCATTTCACCATAGTCAGGAGCTGCCAGCAGTGGACACTGTACGGCTATATGTTGAGTAATATATTAGCATGGTTCACCCTAGTTCACCCCATATTAGCAAGTTCACCCTAGTTTGTAATTCATATTCTAAAACAATTGAATGTTCTCAAGTTTAAAAAAAAGACGCACTGGTATTTTCAACTAAATCACTCAGTCATCTTCTGCTATCTAACCATGTTCGTGTTATATGGTTAATATCTTCCACGGAATACATGAACATAAGTTTCCCTACGTGTGCAGGTTGGGACAATTCCACTCCAGGTTCTGTCAGCTTGGCAGGTCAAGCTGGAAAGTCCAACAAGCTCGTATCCAGGATCGCACAAGAACGTCACCACGTCCTGGTAGTAATTGTCGCCAGTCATTTCACCATAGTCAGGAGCTGTCAGCAGTGGACACTGTACGGCTACAGGGAGTAAGGTGTCATAGTAGCATTAAAGTTTATCAGAGGGGGTAAATAAGATTATAAAAAAATTGAACCTTCTCCAAATAATCACACACAATTTAAACAAACATAGCACTATTCACCACAGTAACTCAAGCAACTGGATATGACTTTGGAAACGGTTAGACGTCTGAGGTAGCGTCCACTACATTTTGTCAGCGGCACTGGAGACTTAAAAGCAGGTTTATAAGAATGGTTTATTGATTGATATGGGATGATAATTTGGAAAGACAACTTTCTTTTAATGTCCAAACGGAAACAAAAGTTAGACAAGTCAAGACAAGGATGATGCAAATTGGCCAAGTAGGTCCTGTTGTTAGAACAGGAGCTTAACTATTCAACTGTTTTAACAGGACCAGACACAAGATTAAACCTTACGTGCACAACTGGGAGCACTGTCACTCCACGTGCCGTCTGCCTGACACGTTATGGATGTTGAACCTTCCAGTTCGTAACCAGAGTCACAGGTGAAGCTCATCACGTCCTGGTAGTAGTTGTCGCCACTCGAACCACCGTTTGTAGGAGACTGCACCGTTGGGCACTGCACACCTGGCAAGATAATAGAACAGGAGCAGTACGGAAGACGACGATTGAAATATACTTTTTGTTGCTCATATGTAGATTCCTGTTACAATCCCTACCATATATGATTACCGATTACTGTTTTTTCCTGCGTGCATTATGAATTATAACTCTGGTTGCTTTCAAAATAACAACCCATTTAAACTACAGGATTGAGGCACCTGTGTCCTGTCATAAAAAAGTTCTCCCCATTTTTCCAGCAGCTTGAAAAGTGAATTGACCCCCATGACCACATAAACTAATAAACATCCCAGACGGTCCAGCCACCAAGACAAATTGTAGGGACAGATAAGCATGATAACTTCCAATCTTTTTGTACCAATTCAAAAATTTTTCTATACTGTTTTTCTAAGTAAGAATATCAAACCATGCAGAATGATCAAGATAATTGTAACTAAGTCACACAATCAAGGAATTACTATCAACAACCTTCAGTTTCTGGAAAACCAATCTTGTTATGGGTTCACCACACCACGAAGTGGTGTGTGGTGAACCCATATTGCTTTTTCTGGTGTTTCTTCTTCTTCTCCTCCTGCCATTTTTTAAATGGATTCAGCTTCTTCATTTTAGGGCCTAAGGTCCTGAAATTTGGTATGGAGGTACAGTGGGCAAATACCCCTAGGCGTTTTTTAAATTTTTGTGATACGGGCTTTTAGAATGGTTTTATTTGAGTTTTTTGGCTGTGTTATAGCAAATGTATTACTGTGTTAGTGTGCCGTGTTTACCACGTTAGGGCATGAGTCATCACAATGGAATGCAGGGCATCAACCAATAGGCATGCAGCTTTCCTCTATTCTTCTTGCTGATTGGCTGTTGGGATTTAATTTGATTAACACCTGCACAGAGCATTTCCACCTGCACAGAGCATTTCTTGCTGATTGGCTGTTGGGATTTAACTTGATTAACACCTGCACAGAGCATTTCCATACTAACAGTATGTCTTTATTCAAGTGTTTTGGTAGGTATTTCAAGCTTTCCTGCTCCAGCATTGGAATGGCGGGGCATGAACGTTTTTTTTTATTTTGAAAATCAACAGTTTGCATTATGCAATTAAAAATCCTAACCAATAAAGTAGGGAATAGCTATCCAACTGTTGTTTTAGTTGTATGTTACTTCATATTATAGTTATATCAATGTAAATCATTGTTTTCGCTTGTGTTTCTCATTCTTTCCCTGCCATGTCGTAAAATGTGGTGAACCCATCGCTGTATTTGCTCCAAAGCAAATATTGGCCTTTCTAGTGTTTAAATTTCAATTTTCTAAAGTGTCTAATTGTAGATATTTGTTTTTGTAACTTGAAAATCTTCCTCACAGCGAAATTTAGCTTTGATAGTAAGTGTCTAAAAATATGTCGTGTAATTTTGGTGTCCATTTGGCTTCCTAAGAAAACAGTTAACATTATGAAAATCGGAGCTCTGTAGACTGGGAAACTGTACAACTACTACAAGCAATTGTAAACCAATTTCCGACACTAACAGACAATTTGGAAAGTCAGCGTTGCCATTACATTCTTGTTTAGGTGAGATTAACTTCTTACAATGTTATTTCAATTGCTTATCTATAGCCAAAGTTATTCCTCTTTATAAGTCTGGAGACCCCTCTGTATTAACAAACTATCGACCATATCCATTTTGCAGGTATTTTCAAAAATTCTGGAAAAAGTAGTGTATAAAATAATTTTGACGCACATACAAACTAATTATGTCCTATATGCACACCAGTATGGCTTTCGGAAAAATGACTTAACTTGTATGGCCCTCTAACATCTTATTGATAAAATCACGTCGGCCCTGGAGAACAATGAGTTCACCGTCGGAATATTTCTCGATTTATCCAAGGCGTTCGATACGGTTGATCACAGTATACTTCTTGATAAATTAAAGACTTATTGTCTTAAACATCATGCCATTGACTTGCTTTCAGACTACCTGTCAAACAGAAAGCAATATGTATCCAGTGGAAACTGTACTTCTTCCCAGAAAAATATACGAGAACATGTCCGTTCTTACCCAGTTTCAAAATGGTTTTAAAAAGGGAAATACTACTTCAACCAACCACCATTTCCTGAGTTTGTTTGCTTTCCTTGTTTTGTTGATTTCAAAACTTGCTCATTTTATTTATAGTTGTACTGATGCTCGTCGTAATAATTAGATTAGTTTGATCTATCTTTATTTGTTCAGATAGATGATTTGTATTGTTTCATTAGTTTTTCGAATTGTTTCTGTTTATTTCTTGTTATTTTTGTCTTCTTTCAAATTTTATTTCATTCAGTATCAATGGTAACTTTTAGTCACACAGTATTAGGAAGAGCCAAATATAAGAGTAACTTGTCTTGGTCACTGTCTTAGCCAGGCCTCTATACATGTTACCCCCACTGTAGTCAGAGCTAGACTGAGGTCTGTGAGTTAACGTTAGCTGAATTATTGGATAATCTTATTGTACAAGCATGGTCTTTAATCAACTGATTTTTTTTCCGTCTGCGTTATAATTACATAACTACTATCATTCATGGGCAGTAAAAGTTTATCTGCTTCAGTAGACAGAAACTTTTTATCCTACGTGAACAGGTTGGAGCACTCCCACTCCAGCTGGCGTCAGCTCGGCAGGTCAGACTTGAACTTCCCACAAGATCATATCCAAGATTACAACTGAACGTCACGACGTCTTGGTAGGAATTTCCACCAGTCTTTCCACCGTTGTCAGGAGCTGCCAGTAGTGGACACTGTACAACTAGAACACAGGGTAAGACATGGTTTAAAATGTCCTTTTGAGTCCTGTCAAATATCTTCTTTTGTGCATAGAGCTGCGGATGGATATGCAGAATTGCAACTACTTTTATTGCAAACCATTTGTAACAAAATTAACGATATAAAAATATTCAAATTCCGACATCCAAACTAACAAGACTTCTATTTCATCACAAGGATTTTTTACGAAAATCGAATGGCTCTTCAGTTGTGTCTATATATATAGTGTCTCTTTTTAATTCTGTTTTTGAATGTCGTACTTGAGCATGTTGGTGAACTTCCACTCCAGGTCAGGTCTGACTGGCAGGTAAGTGTAGAAGAACCGACCAGGTTGTATCCTGTGTTGCACGTGAAGGTGAGCGTACCTCCATACCCATTGGAGCCGCTTACCGCACCGTTTACAGGGGATGTCAGTGTGGGACACTGTCCAACTACAAGAAAATGAAAGGTAACATAATCTCTCAACTTCTTAAACAATTTTGGGTAGCAAAAGACACTTTCTCAACAGTATTGTAGACTCTACCAGGCTTCGGTAAACGGCAGGAAAGAGTAGAAATTGGTCAAATAGACTGATAATATGCTAGGGGAGTTGGTCCACTGAAGAGTACAGTTTGCCTTTCCCAAAGTCTATCAGGGGTCGCTATGTTCCTTACAGTCCACTACACGCTATCTTATGGACAATCAAGGCAATATCGATAAATTTAAAGCTTTATCTCGTATCAATAGAAAGTTGAAAATCTGTATATTGTAATACTAAGGGAAACACTTCTTACTGTAATTTTCTCCGGATTTTTAATATTCATTTTGAAAAAAAGTTTCCTTCTTAAAACAATCTCATATGAACAAATAAAAACATTTTCTTACCCTCGCAAGTTGGTGCACTTTGACTCCAGGACCCTGAAGACTGACAGGTCCGTGTAGAGTAGCCATTCAGACTGTATCCTGTGTCACATAAGTAGGAGGCCACATCTCCGTAGTACCTGGTACTGTAGCTTACGTCACCGTTTGTAGGGTTGGATAGTGTGGGGCACTGTACAGCTGAAATCATAAATATGTTAGACGTGAAATAAAGGTAATACACATGGATGTACGAGTGCATAGATTGACTAAGATCATTGGAAGTATGACATGTATTCAAAACTTGTTACCTTCGCATGTTGGCGGACTTCCACTCCAAGTCCCATCTCGCTGGCAGGTAAGTGTAGAAGGACCGACCAGGTTGTACCCTGTGTTACACGTGAAGGTGAGCACGTTGTCACCGCTCACGGCACCGTTTGGAGGTGCGTTCAGTGTCGGGCATTCTTGAACAGTTACTGAACATAGAAATGCACGCAAAAATTGAAAAATTGACATATTGAAGACAGGGTTTCAAATACCAACTGTACTATACCATTTTTTAGATATACTGTACTATAACCAACCCTGCCGAATTCTTGATGACTTTGTACCAGTATCCGATCACATGTTACGCTTTTATGGTAAAGGATGTACATCTCGTCAAATGCTGTATTTACTGACCTATACGTTATATATTGGTGTAACAGTAGTTATGCTGAATTGTGAAAAAGGTTTGCATGATATGATATGAATGAAATAATATAAATTAGCAGGCATATGTAGCATAGGCTAGAGAACACAGATGATTCAAAACATGCACATTTCTGGTAACCAGAAATGTATACGAAAGTAAATTTAAAAAATTAAAGGACAGGTTCTGTTCCATTTTTCTTGTGTTTCTTTTTGCGCTTGGTACTAGCCCACTGTACCACACGCCATACCAAATTCCAGGTCATTTGGCCTTAAATGACGGGATTGAATCCAATTAACGAAATGACAGGAGGAGGAGGAGGAGAAGAACAAGAAACATAGAGGATATTTACTAATGAACATATTTTATTCAACCCAAAATATTAAAACCGATATTATAGCCATCTCGGAACAGTGGCTTTTCCCTGGGGCATTGAACACACTAGACATTATTCTACACATTTGGTGGCCTTGGAAGAGCAGTAGAAACACAGTGGGATCTTGGAAAAGACGTATCTCCGCAGGGGCAAAACTTTCTGAACTGTGCAGCGCACAAACTTAAGGAGGGGATTAATAGGGACATAGACCTGGTTTATAGCTGTACATGTTTTAGATTCACATTGGATACGTGGCAGAATTGTTTGCAAACAAAAACTGTTGACAAGGTCATCCTCTAATATACACACAATAATACGTCATGCCTCCTGGTTTTCTTAACTGTTCGCTCTAAATTATTCATGTAGAGGGCAAAATGTGCAGCTTCTTTTCAAACCTATTATACGTTTCAAAAGCTGCTTGTTGCTAAGTAACTACGGCCTTACACGAACCCAACTGTACAGAATTACTACTTAGCTGTTTTTTACTTTCCTAAAGAATGTTGATAAGACATGTTTGGGTCCGTCTGTGGTCGGCATAACTCGAGAAGTTTTGAAAGAATCCATGCATGTTTGGTAAGTTGCATGTCAAGTTACTCATGGTTTCTAATATTAATAACATCCCATATAATTCTATGTAAATTTTATAATTAACTATGCATAATTTATGCTAATTTGATGACGTCATTGGCCAAAATCCAAGAAGGCGGACCATATCCTTAGAACAGGTATATACAGGTTATTTTCCTTAAAATGTCATCAATACTTCCATTCTTTTCCAAAAAAGGTTAAAATGAAGGTCTTCAGTATGTTTACAATGTATTTTAGGCTTTATCATGAAAAAAAAAATTATTTTGGAAAATTCAAGATTGATGATCCAAATGGCGGATATCTGAAATATGCATGACGTCATTTTATGACGTCACTGGTGTCGCTATGGGCAACATAAGACTTAGTACACCCTAATATTCTGTCATAAACACTTTTGGTAAATTTATGTTGTATACCATTTAGTTTTCAGGGAATAACCTATCTAGACGGTTTTGGCCAAGAAAATCACATAAATGACGTCAGAATGACGTCTTATTACGTCATGACGACATAAAATGCAGATATGATAAATGTTTACTAGTACACCATCCTCTAAAAACATTGGTGGTCATACGACATACCGTTCGCGAGTTCTGAGGGGGGGGGTCAAATGACCCCCCCCC